TAGTTTTTTTTCTATTTGAATTCTATAAAACAGATTTTCAACAAAGCAATGTAAATAATTCCACTCTAGATCTAATTTAATTGTAGTCATTGATGATATCAGTAATTTATTTTAAATTGTAATGATATTTCGACGCAGTTTTGGAACCAGCCTTCGGTGGTAGTAGGTACAATTAGTGTGTACGCTCGCGTTTTATTTCGACATAAAGCAAATAGTATGTTTACACTTCATGTACCTACACAAAATATGCAGCGCGGAAATTGAAAAATGTAAATATTGTCAGCCAGTTTACATTTTATAATTGGTTCATATGCTTTTTATGTATGAATAAATAATATTGCAAGTTCGTATGGGTTCGGAAAACATTACTAATTATATAAAACAAGAGCATTATTCTATAAATAATGTTGAACATAAAATAAAGTTATTTTAATTAAAGTTCTTACGTGATATATAATTATTTTATGTTGAAATATTATTCTGTTATAATTTTAAATCTGTTGATTTTGTAAATCTTTTTTTTTTAAATACAACCATTATTTTTATCTTTAACAAGAATCTTTTAACTGCAGTGATAGTCAAGGTTAACCTGTACCTTATTGGTTAAAACAGGACCTAGTAAAACGTTTTAAGTTAAATGACATTTGGTGAATGTTTACACAATAAAAAAAAGTGTCACTAAAAAAGTTGCCAAGGAGAAAACGAGTTGTCAAAAAATTTAAATTGTTAATTAGTGTGCATGTTGATGCTGCGATGTATTCATACTTATTTTTTTCTTTTTATTTCTTTTTTGAAATCTAATGGTGTTTTTAAGTGACCGGGTAATTCCAGTGCGGGGTTACCCCGGTCTTGATATAAGCGACCAGTTTGAGCTAAATATAATTTAGAAAACATTAATGTAAAGATATTGTATCGTCGTTTATTTCAAGTTATTTATTTATAGGTAGTTTTTTCTTATTGTGTATGAGTACCTACGTATACAAAACGTAATGAGCGAATCGGCAAATGGCCTTACGTAAAAATATCAACAAAAACAAATTATCTCTTTATAAGGAACATACGATTCATGTACGAATAAAGAATAAAATAGATTGAGAGATTTTCTTAGAAAACAAGTTCGAGGAAAATGAATCTCATTCACATTAAGTAGTTTGCTTCTCTTTGAACGATTTGTAGGAAATAAACAGACATACAAAAGCGCAATCATTGTATGCATACTTCGAGTTTCTTATCTTTAAATGAAGTCTTCTATTTGCTTATTTCTGTCTCAATAAAATGAAGAGAAATAAAATAATAAAAAGCAATGCTAGTCTCATGATTTCGTAAGTATTTTATTAAGGATAATTTATATCACATAATAGACAATTCTCAACTCAACTGGCAATCAATTCCAAGCTTCGATTGACCAGATAGATAGACTTTCAAAAATAAAATCTGTCTGACCAATACAAGCTAATATACCTTAAATGGAAAATCAATTACATTTTAGTATAACTATGTTTGTATATATATAAGATATAAATGCTATTATAAGGCATTAAAAAAATTTTCCTCATCGCTTCCGTGAGGTAGGGTGCCCAAAAGACTGGCAGCATTGCCATTCAACATAGCAATGCTTATGCAATGTTACTTCAGGTGATCGAAGGGCTGGCTACTACCTTGGAAAAAGGTTTCTTATCATTGAGGCTCTGTTCATTCACACTGTTTTGTTACGTTACAGATATGACGTTGTTATTTTTTTTTTTAAACTTTGCCCCACACTAGGATTTTCTCCTGTGTCGTGGGTGCGTTTACAAACATACAAGTTCACGTACACAATGACACCCAGACCCGAAACAACAATTTGTGGATCACACAAAGTGTTGTTCCGTGCGGGAATCGAACCCGCGACACGTTGCACGGCAGCCGGTTGCCCAGCCACCGCACCAACCGTGCAGTCAAATATAATTATATTTGTTAAATAGTTCTTCAAATAGTTTGTAACTATGTTTTGCCCACAACTTTGTACACATAAAATTCTGTTTCGTGCTATTTCTAGAAGAGTTTCTGGAAATCTAGTGTCGAGAAGGAAAGTATTGGCTTTCTATGACCAGTCGTTTTTGTACATAGCCTGTTACTCATTATAAGCAATCAAAACAAAGTATGCTTTTTTTCTGCTGGCTTGCTCTCTGTCAAGTGTCAAGGCTTAACACCATAGCTCTTAAGTGCTAATTTCTTTGGAGAAAACCGACCAAGAAATACCTAGTAGTCTTGTATTTTTATTTTATGAAAACAAACAAGTTTTAATACCTACTTGAGGAAAATTTATTAAACTGTCAAACACCAAGCGGTCACCGGTGACCGCGACCTATTGTTCTTTAATTGTGTCTATAAAACCGGTACTCGACGAGTTAATACGACCTGTAGGTTGTGATTCACTGTGAAATACACAAACATAATTTTAATACCAGAAACGTAATATCTTTTATAGTTCCTCTTACAAAGGGATATTAAATACATTTACTTTGTATTTGTCAAACAATGAAGTCGTAACACTTATAATTAATTATTAATGCCTTGTAAGTCGATTGTCTTTTATTTATGATCTTTTTTTAAATCAGGGTGTTTGTTATGTTTCTTTAATGTGGTGTCTTGAAGTATCCACAGTATAATAGAAATAGAAAGAATAGAACATTTAGCTTACGAAATTAATTGTAATAGTAATTTAACTGCAATTTACTCTAATTTAAACTTACTATAGATTTTTATGAAAAAGTTTTATTGACAAATCTTAACACCCATTTACAAATAATTACTAAAAGATCTTTTGATTTTTAGTAATGCTACAATCAAATAATACCTAGTATGAGACAAAATCTTCTGACATACAGATAGGTACATAAATATATCCGATTTCTCAAAATGTTTATGAAGACATAGTATAGCTGTGCTCATCGCTTTGAATCCTGCTAATTGGCGAGATTGTGATTAGGCAAAATTCGAAGTAAATTGAAGCTCCTAATAATAGAATGATTTCAACCAAATAACCTCACGCAAATGATACTCACTACACAAATGAATGTAGTTATATTCTGGTACCATCCTATCTAATATTATAAACGAATGTTATTTAGTTTGTTACTTCTTTACACTGTAACTACTTAATCAATGTTTCTGAAGTTAAAGTGAGAAGTAGTGGGAAGGACAAAGGCTAATTTACGTAGGCAAACCTGTGGGTAAATTGTAGTTTGTAATAATGTTAGATAATGTAATAGTGATTAATATTACTAAAACCGCGATGAAACGGAGCTACGATAAAGCGTAAAAGTTTTGATAAGGGTCGTGTGTAGGAGTGTTATAGCCAATAATTTAGACACAAACAATTAACAAAGTTTTGGAAGGGAACATGTATCGTGAATTCACGAAACATGACAGTTCTAGACTAAACTACTTAAAGATTTAAACACTTTGAAAATGATCTTTTACATATAGTATTAAGGTTGACATTCTGATAAAGGGTAAGCGGTATAATGTCCCCGTTTACATCACGCTGTCAAAGCCAAGGGTTTTGTTACAAAATTAAAGATGGATTTAGTAATAAGTAGAGACCAACTGGACTTAAAAGGTTGGAAAAGTTGGAACATATTGTTATTCTTACCGTTAATTGGATGACCTACCTCAAGACACATTTTTAACTGTAAGGTGTGCTGTGTTTGCAGTAGTAATTGTTGTATTGGCTCCGAATACAACACCTTGCAGTGTAACAACGCCTTTGCTTTACTTGCAGTAATTCGATAGTTTGTTATGTGCAATATGAATAACTTATTGGTTATTGTTTTTAAACATTCCATTAGTTACTTACATAATACCTATATGTACCTATTGCATTTTCTATACTTAGTTGTCTAAATTAAAATTAATAATAGTTTACCTAAAACTACAATACACCTAAAACTACTTACAGATTTCCTTTTTTTTATGGAATTAATCGGTAAAAGAGCAGATGGATCATCTGATGGTAAGCAATTGCTGCCGTTCATGGACACCCGAAACACCGGAGGTGTTATAAGTGCGTCACCGGCCTTTTCGGAATTAGGATTGTTGGGGATTCGGGAGGGAGGTAACTAGGCCTCTGGTAATCTCATTCACACGACGAAACACAACGGAGGTGTTGTTTCACGTGTATTGCTCTGATCGAGCCGGCCCATTCGGGCCGAAGTTTGATTCTCTCACACTTAAACGATCTAAACTACCTCAAAATGAGTTACTTATTGTTATCCCTAGGTTAATAGAAACTAAGACCTGGAAAATGGCGTGAAATCGTAAAATGCCTAGCAAACTTAGTGACCGTGTTTACGACTACTAGTATTAAAACAGTCAGAACTTTTGTACAGCGTACTAAACTTGTTAAACCACTTCATCTAGTTACTTTGATGTTTTCCGCAGTTTTAAGAGGATCTGATCAACAGAATCAAGGTAATAACATACTCACCGGAAACATTTTGATAACCTTTTCTATATTATGTATTGTATATTGTACCTTATAAGGTACATTACTGATTGTATTTCTTTATAAAATCGGAGAAAGGTATTCTGGAAACCTTCATTTCGTTTCTTATAATTTAATAGTACATGTATTATTCATAAAAATTGTCTTTTCATTTGTTCCTTGACAGATTAACCAGATAAATACAATTTCGGTTACTTATTTATTGCTTAATTATACTTCCACGATGAATAATCTCTGTTAGCTCGTTTGCCTGTTTTGAATCCTTTTTTTGAGGGGGGAAGATCATCCAGTTACTTCTGATGGCTTAACTGAGGCGAGAGAGAGAGAGAGTGTGTCAGACTCTTGCTGACTAAAAACCACTCTGTTCCTAATTCTGCTTTGAGCCGTGGAGCCCCGGTAACTAGTAAAGTTATTACCGTAGGTCCGGACTGACTTGAATTCTAAACTTGACATTTTACGTTGAATAGTGGGTACAAAAGTGTTGATCTAATTAGATATACGTATTCTTTACTTTTTGTGGGAGTTACTAGAAATCGTTTCCAAACAATTCATAGTGTTAACATAACATTTGATTGCACGGTTGGCGCGGTGGCTAGGCAACTGGCTGCCGCGCAACGTATCGCGGGTTCGATTCCCGCACGGAACAATTCTTTGTGTGATTCACAGATTATTGTTCTGGGTCAGGGTATCATGTGTATGTGAACTTGTATGTTTTTAAACGCACCCAACAACACAGGAGAAAATCCTAAGGTGGGGCAACGTTTTCTTAGAAAAGAATATATATAAGATATCTCGGGATATCTAAGAAATCCGATTTGTTATCCTATTCCTTATTAGTCGATAGCTTTAAGAGTATATACGTCCAGTTATTCTGATTTCCCACGAGGATATCCGTCTGGACCGATATAATTAGGTTTGTTTACTTGTTTAGGTACTAAGATTTTCCATGAAAACACATCTTGATTAGTTATTAAGAGTTAAAACTCGCTTCTGATAAGTCTAGCTTCCCTGGAAAGGAAAAAATAAGAGCTGTTTATTAGTAGAAGTTGGTAGTTCTAAACATAACGTTATATTGCTTCCTTCGTATATCATAAAACCTTCAATTCCGATCTATATCGAGGAAAAATCAAGGACTAACAAGAGTATCTTCAATAATATTAAGTGTAACACTTATTTATATTTAGAAATGATTTCAATATTCTGCTTCTTATAAAAATACAAACTCACATCAGATACATAATTATGATTATCTGCTCGTGCTGAACTCTAGAGCGTTGCCCTCTCAGACCAACAACATCAGATGTATGTATGCGTAATTATAATAACATTAGGGATATGCTTTATAGTTTTCTTTGAAAAAGGTCGCAGAAGGAAAATTAGAAAACTAATTACGTCATACGTGTCAACCCCCACCAACAAAGTTAATCGCGTTCTAATCATTAATTTGGTCGCGTTAACAGTCAATTAGTGAGTGGCCTTCAAGATGTTTACGTGCAACAAACAAGCTACAATGAGTTAAATAATACAGAATAATGTAGCAGTATCAAAATACCTCTGTGTTTATACATTTAAATCATCATAACGTAGCATTTATTTACGGCAGCAGGTACTGTTGGACATTCAATAATTGTTCCAACTTTAAAACATAAACACACGGACCGGTTACGAGTTGGACTTTACTCGTACAATGTCGTACGAGTATATTTTTATTCCAGAGGGGTCTATAACTTCGATGAAAACATGTTTGTCTTGTTCACAGGTAAAATGACATTGTCAGCGCCCCCGATCGACGAGTTTGAGGACCCGTTCGTCGTGATGAACACGACGAATGTGTCGAGTCACCCGGCCGCCTATGACGAGCCATACACGCTCGATCTGGTGGTGCCACTCACCGTCACCTACGTGGTGATATTCGTAGCCGGCATCCTGGGGAACACCAGCACCTGTGTGGTCATTGCGAGGAATCGCTCTATGCACACCGCCACAAACTTTTACCTCTTCAGTTTAGCAATTTCGGATCTCATATTGTTAGTATGTGGTCTGCCGTTTGAGGTGCACAGATTATGGAACCCGGACACGTATCCGTTGGGCGAGGCTCACTGCATCGCCATTGGGTTAGCGTCGGAGACTTCAGCTAACGCGACAGTGTTGACAATAACAGCGTTTACGGTGGAGCGGTACATTGCGATATGCAGACCTTTCATGTCGCACACCATGTCGAAGCTGTCACGGGCTGTGCGGTTTATAATAGCTATTTGGGTGTTTGCGTTGTGTACTGCGGTACCACAAGCGATGCAGTTCGGTATAGTGTCGTATGTGGATAATGGTCAGAATGTGAGCGCGTGCACAGTGAAGGGTGTGGGTGTTCATCAAGTGTTCGTTATATCTAGTTTCGTGTTCTTCGTGGTGCCTATGTCGATGATATCAGTGTTGTACGCGTTGATTGGTATTAAGTTGCGGACCTCTCGAGTGTTGCATCCAGTGAAGAAGCTCTCGGTGGACAGCAACGAAAGAGCGAGTGGACAGATGCAGTACAGGAATGGAGCATCACAGAGGAGAGTCATTAGAATGCTCGGTAAGATACTTCAATATATTTATTTTATTAGAATTATTACTGACATGATAATTTTATTGAAATATAGAGGTAAATTCTCTTTGACCTGTGCATATGAATATTTAACGACAGCAACGTCTGGATACATTATTCCAAAATCATTTTCGTTGATTTCTAAGAAATAGTGGCTTATTACATAATACCTAGGCCCGTGTTTCGTATATCAGTGTCAATGTCAAAATTTATTTGGAGTTTTTAGAAATGTATGAAAATTTTTATTTAAATTAATAGAAATCTGAACCTAATTGAAATACACCAAAATACGATAGGTATAATACAATATATAATAATATTATTTCAAGTCAGAAGACTACTTTGAATACATTAATGAACTTCTACATTATTTACGATTGTTTAATATTTTGATGGTATGAATAATTCATTAGTAACAGTGTAGTGACCAAATTTAGGTACTTACCTAATTAAAGTTTTAATTTATTATTTTCGCATTATTGTATTCTGTCACTTTTCACAGTACCTTGGGGGCTTGAAGCAAGATTTTGTACAACGAAAATTATATCATTAGCTTCAGACGAACAGAATTTCATAATGTTCTTTTGTAAACAAGCCATCTGTGAGCTTAAATATCACATAAACCATTTGACACAAAACCTATTTTTGTATAATGTGGTAACTAAGATACATAAAATGAACGTAATTTTATTTATGTAATCATTCTGTTAGCGATTTGACTTAAGCTTCATTCTAATATTTTTTCCTCTTATGGTTATAAAAAGTTTAGTAAGGTGGTATAGGTAAGATCTTAGTATTATGATACAAACTTATGAGGCTATGAAACTAAGATTATTAGGTTGATTATTATAGTTAAGATTTTTCATATAAACAAGATTTAATGTTAGCGCTTAGTTACCATTTATTAGGCTATCTAATTAGCTACGTGTCACATCACTATAATATTATACAATCATAATATTCGTATTTACTTGGTGAAAATAGTTTTTAGTGGAAATCCCCGACATTCAACAGATTGGTAAGGTTTAACGAGTGGGTCAAATGGGCCCTACACTTGTCAGGCACGTCCTAAAGGAGATTAATCATATTAAATTCGGTTTCTGTTTTCTTTTCCCCAGTGAATGGTAGAAAGAGGACGAAATTTATTAGCCGAAAAAATATACACAAATACAGAATTAACTGTAGAAATCACTAGTTACTTATTTTCAAGGTTAATCTAGTACCTAACGGGGTTTATGCTTAAAAATATTTTGTAATTTTTTTTTAATTTTAATGTAAAGTTCTATGTGTTTTCTGTTACATGCAGTTATTTAGTCACATGGTTCAAAAATATACACGTATATCTCATACGATGTATTCATATACTCATGCAGCCCTGTTTACGCCTTCTGAGAATACCAGTCGTAGTCCTATGATGTTTTATGTTATTACAGAAATGGCCGAAGGGACCGAAATCTGCGATGAAATTATATTAAGTGCGGTTGTTGGCCTGAATATACCATAATTTGGCCGCATACCCGTTAGGATGAAACTACTCAACCGATTAACTAATAAATGTTAAGTTTATTTGCTCGTTTAACGTTTATTATATTTGTGTATTTGAATTTCAAAGGGGATTTTAAGTAGATCTTTTGCTTCGTACATTTTCTCAGATTTATATTTATACGACATTGCTCCCATTGAGCTTGGATTTTGACAAATATTTAACGGTCAAATATTCTCCTCTATTTGTTGCTACGGGTTCGTACTGAATTTCAATAACTTAGTATTACACCTTAGGATTGTTTGTTAGCATCTAGTTATAAATTGACTACGAACTAGATAAAAGTTTAGTTTCAATGTGAGTTTGATGTACTTGTGGTGTTTTCACCAAGCGTGGCGTTTTGTATTTCTATCCTGATGAAATGAATAAAGGTGGTAAAACATTTAATGATTGACTATAAATAAAACTTCTTGTCATTGCGAAGTTTAGACTTAGGTAACTGGTTAATTATTTATAAGTTCAAATTACTATTTATTACCCATTCTTCCGTCTCTACTTCATCGGGGTGAATATGTGGTTTATTCTCTATTAGTTTCTATTAGATGTATTCAAAACTGTCTTGACAAAAGCATTTTATAGGCATCTTTACAAGAGGTCAAATTACCGGTCAAATTTTGAGTCATTGACATTTATCTTAAGGATCGTTGTCCTAAAATCATGTCACACGTTACTTATTTGGGTTAAATATTTTATCACACAATTTCCATACAACCGAACATTCGAATCCCACACACGATATCTTTTATATTCCTTTTCAATATTAGCAGAAAACGTTTAATATTCAAACGTAAAAGATTTCTTTTCATCGTTTTTTGCTGTCTGTGAATTGGTATGTTAATATTCTCATGGAAAATAAAAAGCTTACCATTTCTTGTCGTGACCTAATTTTGTTTTTTGTTCTTAGACGTAGTTGCTAAAACTTTGTTAGACTTTTGTGTTAGATTCGGGTAATGTGCCTAACGTGATCGAGTAGTATATCGATACTTAGAAGACCTTACTAAAAATACGTTTTCTTAGTTAATTCTTAATAAAAAAAAAATTGGAATAATTAATTATTGGTCGATGAATGATTAACAAAAAGAACCCTTTTACGTACTTTTTATATTTTTTGCATACACATATACACATACATTGACATAGATGTCATCCTAGTAGGATGACATAACTGTCAGATCGGCTCATGGATCAGCTAGTGTTTTTGAAATAGTCACAGTATAATACAATGTAGGTACATTAGTTATCTATTATGTATTTCCAAAGATGTTCGTTAGTCGAATACACGTGTCCTATCTAAATGAACGGGTAATTTTCAGGTAGTTGAGCTCCTTAAATTGGATTTTCTATCAGCTACAATACATTTTAGACTTTATCAATGAAAGATATAGTCGAAAACAGGAATCAAAGAAAGTAACTACTAACTTACATAACTAACATTTCAATATTTCCCCCTAAGACTTAAATCAAATTCAACTGATATTTAAAAACACAAAACCCGGGTTAAAACACAGGAAGAGGTCTGAGCAAGATAAACGATTTAATTTGCATTTAAAAATATGCCTACATGTAGGAACTAGAGTAGACATTGTCTATACGTAAATAAGTTTTTGGCAGCGGCCATATTGGAATTTATTAACGTTACGCCGTTTTAAATTCCCCATCCCAAACTGTTCAATTAGCGAATAACAAAAGATAAGTTTTAAACTTTTTTGCGTAACTTCTGTCTTTACGCATACTGCTTATGAGTATGAACCCCGTTCTTGGCTTGAAATCGGTCGAGCCAACCTCAAATTTGACAAAAGTTAGTTCTATTTGAATTAAGAATCAATTAATAAAATGTGCTTTCTATACTTTATGTCTAAAGAAAATTGCCGCAGTTTAAAACAAACTTGAACCGTATGTGTCCACTCAGAGTGGAAGAAGGTTAGTGGAAACGTACCCACAGGTTAATTATAAAGTTAATGTGGGAATCTATAGTTAGCTCGTTTGTCGCCTTGCCTTGGTTTAAAAGTGTACTCCAAAGTGGAACAATTGGATTTAAACTGGCGAATGATATTTCCTTCGGAGTGGTAGCGTTATGATTGAAGATTGATTTCTTAATCTTTGTTTGTTTAATAAACAAAGATTTGTTACCATAAATCGATGGACGATGTACTACGTATTTTAATTTAATATGAATCCAGCCTCACGTTTTAGATGGAAACGCACTTGAGATATGTCTGTTAGGTAGGTACTGGTGGCAGATCTGCTTAGACTACGTCGACTGTTATATACTGGCGACCTGTAAGTTTTGTTGCTATTCATAGCACAAGTACAAAACAGACTTTGTTGTTGTGTGTATTTATATTACAAATCAACAAAAGTCACACTAGTGACCTTCTGGCTTTTTTAAATCAAATAAGTTTTGCCAGACATAATTGGCTTTTAGCAAAACATTTACCTTATGCGCCCACTGGGTAGGTATAATAAAACGTAATTATGATTTCATAAATAGAAAACCTGATGATAATAACATAATCAATATTCATAACAATTCATTCAATAGATATTGGACGAAATGTGAATCTAGACTTTATCCGCAGAAAATAGGTATGATAAGTTGGTGTTTAATACAAACACTGCCTGGCTACTGATGGCTGACGTCAATGTAGGTTGCCCTATTTTTAGTTCATCAGTAAAGTGGCAAGGAATAAAAAAAAATAAAAGGAAGCGTGAGCCTACGAAGACTAGTTTAAAGGAATAAGAAATATTTTTAAATGAGAAATTTGTTTACGAAAAACGGAAGACCTTATCCACTTACAACCTACGTACCTTTAAGTGTGGGAGCCAAGCTTCGGCATGAATGGGCCGGCGCGACCGGAGTGATACCACGGCCTCACAGAAAACCAACGTGAAACAACACTTGTGTTGTGTTTCGTCATGTGGATGAGGTTATCAGAGGCCCAATTATCTCCCTCCCCCAATCTCCCAAATCCCTAATTCCCCTACAATGCTTAAGTTCCTAATCCCTAAAAGGCCGGTAACGTATTTATAACACCTCTGGTGTTTCGGTTGTCCATGGGCGGCGCCGATTGCTTAGGTGTTACGTCTGCTCGTTTACCGGTTTTTTCCATAAAAAAAATAAAAACCTAGATACTAATCAAAACCAAATGAAAACAATACAAAAAGACAGAAAAATATCATTATGCCAAAGAAAGTCTTAGCTTTACTATTCAACTTTTAATTAAATTAGTTTATGTGACTTCAAGTTACTCGAAGGCGTCTGAAATGTCCTACTTGCCTTAGAAAAACTATCCATCACCTAGGGATATAACTCTGTTATCTTTATATTAAGTTTGTAGGACTTAAACTACACGCCCTTGGTCTCTTTGAGGGGTAAGTAGAAAAGTAAGTACCAGGCACTTTAACTTATACATTTTGTGAGTTTTGTCATTACCTACTCTTATGT